CTCTCTCTCTCTCTCCCTCTCTCTCCCTCTCTCTCTCTCTCTCTCTCAGTACTGACATGTAGTTACTCCATCCTCCACTCATCCACTCAACCCCTCCAGGTAAGGGCACCCCATTGAGGGTCCCGAGCCGGAAAGTTCCATCGACCAGCTGCTTTGTCTTAATTTTCTGCTTTTTTTTTTTTTTTTTAATTTTACTTTTTTTTCTTTCTTTTTTGGTTTTAAAGACAAAAAGATGAGAAGCATATCAGCGATTGAAGCTGCTGGACCAATTATACAAGTGTCTAATATATATCATTACCAAATCAATAGTGCATTCTAGTATTTAAATAGCAGAAATATGGCTATCATGATGGTGACACCCCCCCCCCCCCCCCCCCCCCCCCCCCCCTCCCACCCCCGTGTGTGTGATTCCAGGCCCGGCAGAGGCGTGGTGTGAGCTGTTACTGTACATGCCCAGTTATGTGCCGCTCGCCGAATCCCACACTGCAGTCACTCCACTCCAAACAGTCGTGCATCTTTTAATCTCAGAGTTTATTGTTCCTGTCACAGGAGAAAGCCCAGCTAGTGAAACGGTCAGCGAGCCGGGGGGGAGGGTGCGTGTGTGTGTGTGTGTGGGGGTTGGGTTCTGAAATCTGGTGGAGTGGAGGGGGCAGCGTTATAATTTCGGGAGGGGGAGACTGGGAGAGTAGAGGTTCGACATGCAACAGAGTCTTGGTGTCTGCTGCTCAAATGCTGACCCCCTCCACGCAGCCAGGGGGCCTTGCTGAGCTCACACCTTGTCCTCTTGATTTGTTCCCAACATTGTGTTTACATTCTCTGGTGCCTAGGTCAGATACAATGTTATTTCCGTGCATTAAACAGTGAATAGCCATGAAATGCAGTGTGTTCATTGTGTCTAAAGACTCCTTTATTGCAATGTTTTTTTTGGGGGGGGGCGGCGGCGGCTCTTGGTTTCTGTGTATTTCTGCTCCTGTCTTCGCCCGCGATCCTTATTGGGGAGCAATGTTGGATCCGTGGAGTGGGTCTCGGCACCCCAGCTGCACCTCCCTTCAGCAAAATGGGATTGGGAGATGGGCCAAGTCACTGATGGGTTGAAGGTCTGCAGTGCTGCTGTTGCTCCAGAGTGTGCAGCTTCTGCTCCGGCAATGGGAGATCGGGACTGGGTGGAGGAGCAGGTGCCGGAGCACGACCTTCAGCCCACCAGGCCAGGCCTGGAGGTCCTTCTCTCGGGGCCCCCGTTCGCCGCTACACCTCAATATGGATGGAGTCCTGCCTGTGTTTGGGTTCGTTGCCCAGGTTCACTTTCTCTGTGCGGGTGTGCCACACCAGTACCTGGGAATGAGAGGAAATGTGAGTATGAGTCTGCACCCTCACCCCCCCTCCCCCCAAGGCCTCCTGACATATCCATACTTCACACATGAACGGCTGCAGTGCCAGGCTTGTAATGCAGTGCCTACCAGGCCGAGGAGAACCAGCCCTCACCAGCTGAATGTGAGAATCTTTAGACTTAGAGTTATCCTGGTATAGATGGAATGGCTGCCCTCCCCTGTCCTGCTGGTACAGCCAGGCTCCCACGTGAGCTGTGTGCTCACTGCTATGGTCATGCCCCATCTTTCTACCGGGTGGAGATTTCAGCCGCCCTTTCTTGTCATACTGATGGTCTGTGATGAAGACTCATAAAGGCTAAGATATAAGATTTGGGTTATCAAGGTATCTGGGTGGTATAAATATGAAGAATCCGTTATGTCCCTTGGTGGTGTCTTATGTATGCAAGTGGTCTAACTAGCAGGTTGCCTCCAGATGGGCAGTAGTAGAGTCACGACCTTCTCATGGCCGCTGTGAGTCCAGTATGAGCCACCTGATGTTGCCCGTGCTCTGATCCATCTCCCATCATGCACTAGCTTGCCAAACACTCCTCATAGGGCCTGCTTGACGTGAAATGGATATATCAAGTTCCGTCGACGCATAGGGTAGCCACCGCTAAAGTAGCGTTATCGTGGGCGGTCGGCAGGCTTCACGTCGACTGGTGGGGGGAGGGGGGCGGATCTGTCACGGTACCGTCGCCGCGGCAGCTGGCTGCTGGCGGGCTGCACACCGACAGATTGACGTTAATGAGCGGAAGCCGCAGCAGTGTGCCCGTAAACAAGGCTGCCCCCAGCCGTCCATCGGTCCAGCTGAACTGCACAGGAGCTGATGAGTCTAATACGTGGCGTCACTGTGGCGTGGGCTGAGGACAAACCTGCAGGGGGCGGGCTCTCTACAGCAGGCTGGCGACAGTGTTGTGTTTGGGGGTGACTTAGCAGCTTTGACGTAAATTGGGCACCAGCTCATGTTTCACATGAATGTAGGATTTGATGACTGACTCAGAGTCAGAGGTGATGTCAGAGGGTGGGCGGGGTGACGTAACTGACCCGGGTACAGTTCTCCGCCTTGGGTTCCAGCTCCTCCACCTTGGTGATCTGCTTGAGGAAGTCCGACTCCTGCATGCCGGGCTGTGACCCTCTACGTTTGAAGAGCGCCCTAGGGTTGTCCAGCACCACCTGGAGGTTCACGCAAAAGCCTGGAGAGAACATGGGCACAGTTATCAATGCCACGTCTGGCCTGGCTGTCTAGGACCATTCTGTCTGTGGCTGGGGGGCGCAACTGAAACCTCTTACTGATAGTTTTCATTCTTGGTCTTGACAGTGAACCAATATGGCGCCCTAAGGGCGACACAAAGACGTCAATGATCTAGTGGTCTATACGGTCATGAGATGCTGCTGTTCAACGTCTCTGAGCTTCTGTGGATCTGATTCTGTTTTGCAACCCAACAGAAAAAGATGTCAGCAGCCATACAGCCGGCAGAGATTAAACAGAGCTGTTATACAGTAAATATGTCTTAGCATCAACAAGATCTAGCACTTTGTTCCCCAGGGTTCATATTAAATAAGGTCACGTGTCTCTGCCCTCAGCAAAGCGTCGATACGTCAAATGCCAGGAGAAAACCCCAGAGGTGAGCTTTCCACGCAGCTCGGTCATAAATAACCAACGCTGTCTGCGTTTCATCAACCGACCAAAAGCATCCGCCCACTTTCTCCAGATTAATGCCATTTCAATGCCGCGGCCGTTCGACTATTAGGTGAACCTCTGGAGATGGTAGCGGCCGGATGGCACCCCAGCATGGCTGTGGTGTAGCCCTTCCTTGTAAGGTCAAGAGCAAAAGATTGCAGCCCCAGGCCGCAGAGAGAGGAGGAGATGTACGATGCGCTGTTGTCTAGCCCGAGGATCTCACCAGAGGGCTTGCGAGATGTGGCCGTTTAATGAGAATGCTAACCTACCTCCATCTGTAGACAATCGCTCTTGCTTCAGGCGAGGCAGAGCAACACACTTCTCTGCGAAGTGTGTGTGTGCGTGAAAAACATTCTGCCTGCAAAGCCCCATCCTTGCCAGTCCTCTACAACCTGCAGCGCCTGCAGATTCTGTCTCTGCCTTTAATGTGATTCTTTCACCGTTAAAGGATGGTGACTGGTTGCTGAGCTCAAATCCGGCCACCCAGCCTGCCCCCTCAGAGCCTCCCTCCCCCCAGTCAGGACTTCATGATTGAACATGTATGACTATCATTGAGTCACACTGCCCTTAAGGCCAAGATCTAAGGGATTTTCTGGATCTCTTTGCCTGGTGCCCAGGTGTAGTCTTATGCCAGTCCGAATGTGTCCTTCATGGGCTCGAGATAGCTGCAGACACGCAGGACGGACAATCCCCACCCGGAGCCTCCGCCCTCAAGTTGCTTCGTACAGCCGTCACAGGCTGTGATTTTCTGTCATGCCACAGAAATTCTACTAAATAATTTGCGGCAGCCGGCATCAGTGGTGACACAAGCAGCCAGCCTTCCCTGGCTGCACAGGAGAAGATTGATGGAGTCCAGGGTGGATGCTGGACGCCTCCATAATCTCTCAGAAGGTGGGGGAGATGTAGAAAGCCAAAGCGAGGGGTTGCTTCTGCTTGGATCAGTAGGGTCAGGATGGTCCAGATCTGTGTCCTGTGGCATTTTTGTGGGAAGTAAAAAGAAGGGGAAGTACCTGCCATGTCGATGGCGAAGGGCCGATCAGCCCTCCAGCCCGTGTACCAGCTCACTACCCTGCCCTTATCCACCAGGGGGCGCTCATACCGCCGGCCACCCACCAGCCCAACTGGCCACACGGACACCCGTCTGGTCAGTCGCATCTGCCAAGAGAAGTGGTAATGTTTTAAAAAAATAAATAAATAAATCCATTTGATCCAAGATGAATGTCAGTTTATTGTGATACATAAACTGCTGAGTGTTCAGGGAACATTCTTGACAAGAAGTACCAGGTTTCAAAGCCAAGAAGTGTCTGAGCAACCAGCTTGAATTTATTCAATTAAACAGGGTGCTCTAAAATGGATGTGTAGTTTAAATCGGCGATTCTCAACCCATGGGTCACAGCAAGTTCTGAAAGGCTCTCCTGGCAGAGTTGGAAATGTAAGCATTTTTAAATCAGGAAGCTCATATGCTGATCCTCAATCAGATTTCCCAGCCCTAGTCCTAGAATTAACCTATATAAACAGGTCTTGGGTCTGCAAATGCTTAGCGCATGACTAGTGGACACTCGTCCAATCCAAGAAGCCAAACCACAGATGCTTAATTTAAAATTCAGTGGCACATCCAATCAGGTTTCTGCGATAGGCATCGATTGGTGTAAATTGCGGAGTGCACCGTGTGCCTGATCATAGCGTTAATTTAGATCTATACTTGATATAGGGTCGCAACTGAGCTGGCATGGTAACAATTGGGCCGCGGTGCAAAAAGGTTGAGAAGCACTGGTTTAAATGATATCAGATGCATCAGAGAATCTTTCTAAGTATGACACACAGAATTCTAGCAAAGGATACTGTAAACAGAGAATATTACGCCCCTGAATATTAAAAGGCATCTGTGATATTTTTGGCTATATTTCACAGCAGGACAAGATTCGTTGAAGAAATACTTCTGGTACATTAAATCCACAAATTACAGAAGTGTATGTACTGCATTTAAGAGAAATGCAATGTGGGATATATTTTTTATTGAAAGTCTTTCCACGCCATGCTACCTACAGAACATTTTACTAAATTTAATATTTGTTTGTTTATTTAATTGTTACTTGCAATATAGCACATTGTTATTTTAGTTAAACTAAATTCTAGTGCTAAGCTATTTGTCTGATGTATAGGATTAGACTTGTTGGCCTCTTTTTTAAAGCATTAGAATTATATAACAAAGAAGACAATTCAGCATGTGTGCGCTATATTAAGACACTGTCCATAAATAAATCTGAGTCATCCTTTGGTTTTGAAACACAAAAAGATTATAATCAGAAAGACAGGAAAGAAACAACGATAAAGGGTGACATTCTTTACACCTGGTTCTCTTTCATTTGTATAAACATATTTCTATATGGTTTATAAATGTTTCTCCCAGCATCAACTGTACTTAAGTGCTTCTGTTCTTTCATTGTCATTGTTATTCATTGTGATGTAATAAAGGTGGTGGCTGGAATCATGGCGAAGAACTGTATCCCAGAAATGTGCAGGAAGGGGCACGGAGGCATCGTCTGCGTTACGCTGGAGCTTGTGTTATGTCAGCATACAGCTTGTATCTTTCGGAGTCTGTACAGTGACGCACCTGTCTCTGATGGGCCAGGAAGCCAAGCTGACATTGTTGTGGAGGCTAAAGCGGCACATGCCTTGTGAGCATTGGACAGTGACAGGTCTCCTGGGTGTTGGTGCTGCCCTGTGTTCTACACACTGTTCTGAACTAAAACCCTTCACTTCGGCATGAGTGTGACCCAACACTAATTCTCGTTTATTTAGCTACCTCCACAGGACACATGCCACAGACCATTAAACCCCATTATTCACATGTAGTCAGACCGAGTTGGTGAGTAAGCAAGCATTGTTCTTCAGTCCCGAACAGAAGCGATACACTTTACCCTGTGATACAACCTATACCCTGTTAACTCCTATCTTAATCTGACCTTTTTCAAGCCTTTAGGTGGAAATAGTTCGGAAAACACTCCTGTTTCTAAACTGCATTCTTTTAGCCTCCCTGACTACATTCAATAACCTTCTCGCTTCTGTTTCGTGGCTCCTATTTTTTGGATAAAAATGGGCAGGTTTGTTCCTCGGGTACAGCATGGTATGCTGTCCAACTTCTGCTCACGTGAGCATGCAAATGCACAGCTGCGGACCGCAGGGAGCCAGATCGCGCGCGCCTTCAATCCTGCAGACTGCATGACAGCAGAACTGGCGCACACATCCCGCAAAGCCAATTGCTCAATAGCCCACATAGCGATGCAACGTTTTCTGACATATATTTCTTACAATATGAGAACTGGACTGAATAGACATACCGTGCTATTAAGTAAAAATGTGCCTTGGCCTGTGCCAGAAACTGCCTTAGTGCATTGAGAAGTAAACAACGTATGGTGAGTAATCTGATTGATTTAACGTCATACATAGTGCAAAGTGTGTGAGTGTGTGTGTGTGTGTGTGTGTGTGGGGGGGGGTGATCGAGAGAGAGAGGGAGGGAGAGAGAGAGAGAGAAAGAGAGAGAGCGTGTGAGTGTCTGCGTGCAAAATTCCGGACTGTGTGGCTTTTCTTCAAACCACCTTAACTGAGACGACTCGGTGATTTAAAGAATGTTTGACCCACAAGCCGCTACAAAATGGTAGGCGAACTGTGCACAAATGATAACAAAACTGTTTTTGCTGTTACATCAGTTGAAAGTTTAAACGTAAAATAAAAAACTAAAATGCACTCCTATTTACTCAGAAAAAGCATCCGACACGTCTTACAACAGAGATGTTACAATGTATCAAAATCGATTAACCCCTTAGTCAAGCTTATACTAAAGAGCCCAGGTAGAATGAAACCGTCACACGCAGTAGGTCTCTAATATGAGGATTCAACAGATATGTAATATCCAGTCGAACTATATTGATTACTTTAATTTATTTATTAATATAAATCCATGTCTGTCTAGTGTCTCTGTAGCTGTTACTAATTTCGCGCTGCGTGGTAATACCGCACGCAAATTGGAGTTGCGATTATGCTGCTTACAGTTGCGTTTGTACGGAATGCACGGTGATGTGGCGGTCGTCCATACCCACAAAAATAAGCTCTTCAGCACAATATATATTTCAGAAAAATTGTAAGGTTAAGTAAGTTGTTCTGGAGTAAAACAAGTGATCCCAAAAGCATCATATATGCTAGACTACCAGCTACTTTATGTTAGTGATATTTCGTGTATTCGTTTTGATCGCGCAATTGTCCAAAATATTCTTTTTTCATTAAATGCCACTGGTAATGTGTCCTACATGCACAGAATATCCAAGCAGTATGGTTTCAATGGTTTTGGATTATTAGGACTAACCATCTCTAATAGTACTCCATTTTCTTCACTGTGTATATTCAAACTCGTTTTAGATCAGTAAACATTATGAAATTATTTTTTATATGGTTCAGAAGTAACAAACAAAGCATTCCTTGTTTTTCACTCAGTAATAAAGACTGCACAGAATACCAGAGTAACTATACTTATATGACCAATGTTAGTTACTGTATGGTTTGCAACATCACAAACACGAGGACAACTTCCAACATGAGATGCCTTCTTTACCTCTTCGAATAACTCCAGGCTGTAAGTATTGTCATCGTCTGCAAAGAACACCACGCCGGGGTCTTGGGGCGACCGGTGCAGGCGCAGCCACCCGAGGGCGGCATTTCTCTGCTCGGTAGCACGGGGCATCCCGGTCCGCTTATACCTGCGAGGCGTGAGGACGTGCAGGTGGGTGTAGGACAGTCCGGATCGGGCTAGGAAGCGCGACACCAGCTCCGTGCGCACATTAGAGTCCTCCACCACGATCCAGTGGAAACTGGGCACCTGGCGAAAGGTGTTCGCCAGACGGGTAAGCTCTGCTTTCTGCTGCGGTCTGCTGTACGTAGGTGTTACCGCGTAGATGACTGGCAGAGTCGTACCGTTGTACGCAATCCGAGTCGTCCGGTCTTGCCGGCGTGCGTTCCCCAACCGGGAGAGGTAAAAGTGGCCGCTGCTTCGGGCGGATGTTCTCTTGGTATCCATATCGATCATAATAATAACAATCAGAGCCCAAGGTAAAATGATAAAAAAACGACTATAGAATTGTGATTTCATGATGCAAATATTAAACGGAGAAGGAATAGAGGATAATGTTTTTATTTTGTCTCTTCAGTCCGCTGATTCTTCGGCATAGCTTGGACATCTATAAGTGTCTTATGTCTTTAAACCATCTCTATAGCATTTTTTTCAGCGACGTAATATTTCACATCTGATTAATAAAATATCTTATATAGTACTATTTTTTTTTTTTTTTTTTAAAATAAACCGACCTACCGGAGCCGCCCCGGGGAAATCCAAAGTTTGCCTGTTATGCGGATTTCAAAGCGCCGTGATTCCGCTGCCCTGACTGGCCCGCTCTCCTCGGCGGAGCGTCTCTTCATGACGGGGAGCGGAGCGATGCTTCGCACCTCGGATGCGGGGGACCGCACCGAGATCGGAGACAACAGGTAATTCAAGGATCCGCGTCTTCGGCGTGTGCCGTTTGAATTGCGCCGTGCACCGATCCCGGAAAAAATAACGATATGCGGCACACGCCAGATATTTATTACATGCTGTTACTTTATATGGATAACAGGGAATCTACGGCGCCGGCTGGCTGTGAGACGGGCGGCGTGTCCGAGAGGGCTGGCGAAGAGCCGCGTTAGAGAGAGCGCCTTTGTTGTGCTGCTCAGAAAAACGTCAGTGTCCGCCGAGACCTGAAAGGCTCTTCGTTTTATCCACCAGTGGTATCCTCCGTAGAGAAAGGGAGGGCCGGGCGAGAATAGGGGGAGAGAAGGCGCATCGCACTGTATTCATTGATTGTACTCCTTTTTGGCACCGCATCTGATAGGACAGTTTAAATTATCGCTTTATCTTTTACATATTGGCCATTTAAGCTACTGTTTTATGCACATGCAAATGCGTTTTGCATACCTTGCAAAAAATGTTTTCCTTATCACGACTGTTCACATAGCCTATGCTTGCTTTAATTAGTTGCAACAAAATCTGAAGATTAATTTCAAACAATCCCAAGATAAACAGAGATACTAAACGGTTGAGTAGAGCACTTAAACACATCACGCATAAAATAAATACGCAATAAAGCTCTAGCTATTATTAACATGCTGAAATTAGAAATAAATTAGCACGTTATACTTAGGTCGATCTTTCAGAAAATGCAAGTTTATTGTCACGTTTTGCACGGTACGCGGTGCATAGAAAATAGACGCACGCAGTGCGCAGTATCAAGTATAATTAAACACGGACGTTTATCAAGCTTGTCATGTATATTTAAAGTAAGCTATTATTTCTTGCAGCGATTAAATTTCCTTGTGTGTGTGTGTGGCTGGATAAATAGGATCATCACTGTGTCATCAGTTTCAAGTGTGAAACCATATTCTAGAAGTTTTCTCTCAGAGTGGCCTATTAAAAAATCCTGGACCAGAGCCGTAGCGATGCCGCATTGTGAAAATTAGTGAAACAATACGAATGAAATGGCTCACTCCGAAATGCACCACTGTGTTAATAATCCTACTGTATGTGCGTGGTGACGTCACATCGTACGCTCTTATACGAATAACAGTATGAGTTTCGCTTGTTCTGCCTTTCACGGTGAGTTTAACCCTCTTTCCTACATGTGCGAAGCATCCTGCTACGTGGAGACATTTACGTTGAAAATATGGATTGCGTTATATGATATACATCAAATGTCAAAAATATTACACTTGTCACAATGGCAGTCTGTTATACTTACAGAGATATATAATTTTTCTGACTGGCTTCGCAGGCTACGTTTTGCACCTTGCAGGGAATGCAGGGGGTGGAAGCCAATGAGAAGAGTACGGCCAAAAAAAAAATAATCAATCTTTAATGATAGTGGCGCTAAATCAAGGAGGTATTGCGATGTGTTATTATCTCGGCGCTACCAAGTTAATGTAACACACAGGCGTAAGGAGAGAATAGAATAATAGATTAAGACGACAGAGAGTGGAGAGTATTGTGACTAGCAACTTTTTCCATACGCTTCAATAATGCAGGCAGCTTGTGGAGGAAGTGGTCAGTAAAATTCATGTTGCCATGTAAAAATAAATTATGGTTTAATTTGATTATGCGATAATAAGAACATCCACTTCAGTAGGTTTTAGGGCAAACAATTTATATTCGCGCAATGGACGGAAATACAAAATGAATTTGTCAACAACATTAGCATAGAAATGGCTTTTCTTTCCCGCCCTTTATTAACTAATAAGACTCAGCTCTGCGGCAGCTACTATAGCTTCACGTTGACGGTTCAGGGCATGGGGTTTCTGTTTTTACAACGGCGTCCAAAGGGATGGAACCTTGGAAAACCTAGTCTATCCAGTTGCCGGAACTTTGGTCCGCAGGAAATGGGTGATAGTAAAATAGTAGTATTTATTACAGCAATCTATAACATCTAACAGCCAGTTGTAGTGAGATTGGAACTTATCCTAGGAAGTATGGAGGTTACATACACAGTAACAGTATTTTGAGACAGATTCACCTAATGCCTTTGCACTCCAGGAGGAGTCCAAGGTAACCAGAGGAACGTCACTAAAGAAAACATGATACGCAACCTCCAGACACAGAACCGGGGCCAGGAATCGAACCTGCAACCCTAGAGGTTTGAGGCCACCCCCATGCCACAAAATAGGATTCGTGATTACCCTCATATTCCAACACAAGCTGTTTCTGCGATTTTGTTTGGCTGAGTTTTTCAGGTGTTGTGTGTTCTGGCCTTCCGTTGTTGTTTGCACCGTTGACAACATCATCCTATCATGGGAGGTAGCAGCTGTCATCGTCACACTTTCCTTGCTGCTTGTCACTTAAGTTAAATCACTTTGCCAGTAAGTTTCACGCCAGTTTCCGGTTGAGAAATCAGGTCTTAACCGTCACCTTGTTTTTTGTCACAGTGTTTTGACACTATCTTCTGCAGCTATATAAGAAAATCAAGTAAGTTATCCTGGTAATACCCGTGGGCTGTTGATCGTGTTATTATATTTGTAAAATATGTCCAAGGCACTGGTAAATTTCCACATTAGATGCATACCAGATGATTTTTAAGGATTTCTGGGTAATCCAGAAGGCAGACACTTCCCTTCTTGAATACAATTATGTATCTTTCCCCAGTAGATGTTGTGCTGTGTTGCTGAGCCTTATCATTACTGTGCTGTCTGCTTCTGAACCAGGCAAAATTAAGTGATGAAAAGATAATCTTCTGACATAATCACATCATTATTTCCTCCGCGATAACAGAACAAGTGGTGTATTTTGCCAGAGCAAAAAAAAAAAGCACTTGAAACGATCCTAACCCAGCTGCAAAATGAATTTATGTTTAAATAACCTTGAGTTGCCGGTAATGTTTTTTACGATGGTGACAGGAATTCTTAGGAATTCATTTGCATGACAAAAGTGAAGCTTCTCTCCAAGCACAAAACCTTGTTAGCGGGGAAGGGAACGTATTCTGCAGATTAGTTTACAGGCGTTAAACTTGCGCTAAGAAGCAATTTGCCGCAAAATAGCCCAGGCCTGCTCAGGCACAGGCTAAGCTCACAGGGGTACCGTGGACGCACAGGCTAAGCTCACAGGGGTACCGCGGATACAAAGGCTAAGCTCACAGGGGTACCGCGGACGCACAGGCTAAGCTCACAGGGGTACTGCGGACACAAAGGCTAAGCTCACAGGGGTACCGCGGACGCACAGGCTAAGCTCACAGGGGTACTGCGGACACAGAGGGTATGATTGAAGTAGCCACGTCTATAGTGTCACGAACACACACGGATGTAATCGATAATTTCAGCACCATCTTTTTGTATCATTTGTTTACTGCACTGTGCGTCACCATGCCAAATTTAAAGCGAGCAGATGTCTCCATGGTTAGACATCCTGTAGATGAATGACTACCACAATTGTGAGGTAAAGAAACCTACTCTGGATTATTTGTTGTGATCTAAATCTATCAGAATAATAGCTACAGTGCAGCATTGTATTGGCTGGGAATCACAATGACACACCCATCCATCTTTTAGGCTTTTATCCTGGGCATGGTAACAGATGGGCCTGGATTCTCTCCCTGGCAGCACGGAGCATACGGCTGGGGCACACCCGGGACAGGATGCCAATCCATCGCAGGGCACATACTCCATGTACTACGGGCAATTTAGTGATGCCAGCTATAGAGAACCAGACCCACATGACTGGGGCAGAACAATTGAACTCCAAACACACGGTGCAGAGGCAGGATTTGCAGCCCCCACCCCTCGGAGGTGTGAGGCAACAGTGTTACCCCCCCCCCCAGAGCCACCAAAGAGCAAACGACGTCCGGATCACTGTGCAGCTACAGAAGCTGAAATGCTACCAAAAAGAGTCAGTGACTGGGCTGTATCTGATATTACACCCCCCTCCCCTCCATCATCCCACCTCAACTCAGTGATTTCCCCGATTCAGCCAATCTGCATCCAATCACAGTCAGGGAATGAAGGTCCCATCTCCAGTGCAAGTTTTTGAAATCCCAGGAGGAGCGGCTGCATCTGACCCACCTCTCCACACACCCTCCCCCCATTAGCCCACTTGTTTTAGTGATTTCTCATTTTGGCGATGCTGTTTCCCTTAATGTCTTTCTGTGAAATGGCGGTACAGACTGACAGAGGTGTTTACACCCACCACCAGCAGCGGCCCCTGGGCCTTGCCGAGTATCCTGGCCGGAAAGGTTAGATTTCACAAGGGGGCGAGGCGAAGCTAGGTGGGGAGAAGCAGCGCCCCCTTATGGTCAACGGCAGCTGACTTTTCAGCGCAGTATTTTTTTTTTTAAAGCCCTAATTCAGTGTCTCTCAGCTCAGTCCTCAGGGACCCCTAGACAGTCCACATTGTAGCAAAAACCGATTGAGGAACGACACCTTAATTGAAGGTGGCAGAGATACTGCCCCCCCCCCCCCACCGATACAGACTGCTAGCATTTAATAAGGGGACATATATCCATTGCCCCTCCCACTGCATCTACACCTACATTAATGGCCATAAGTCATCTTATTAGTTTTAGCTTGAAAGAATAATAATTGGTACCCAGTAAGTTTTCAAGGTACAGGTGCTCAAGCAGGGGCAGTGAGGGGAGCTGTGGCTTAGGGTAAATTCTACTGACCTGGGGGGGTGGGGGGGGTATAATTGGTTCAATCAATAAATACATTTTACTGAATAGGGGCACTTAGAACCTCAAAAGGGGGGCACCTTCGATCGTTCGGGTGAAAGGGTCACCGCCCAGTCCCCCCGCCCCGCCCCGCCCTTGTACATTCCTGCCCAGCACCATTAATGGCCGAGATGGACAGCTGAATATTTGCAGTAGGCAAAGCTGGCCACCTTAGGCAGGGGTTCTCTGGATCTCGGCACGCCCCATGAAACGCCCTTGCGTTGAAGGGAAGGTGAGACGGGGTTCCGAGGTCAGATGAACAGGCGGCTGCCCCAGGCTGCTCCTCATTAATGAGACCCAGAGATGTCAGCAGCCATATTGATGTAGAATTTGACCTCCGCGACGCCCCCACTCCCAGCGACTTCACATGTCTGCTAATTTACATGTGGCATATTTAAACCTGAGTTTCAAGGGGCTCATTATTACTTAATCTCAATAAACTTTGGTATAGTACTGCTTTACCAGTGGCTGTGAATTGCTAAGAAGCAGCACTACTGCCCTCTGGTGTTATACTCAAAAAACACAACATAGTGACTCAGGGTGAATGAAGTTAAACATGAGGTGTGTTTTTCTAAATATACACAGGACATACACAAGTAATATATGTATGTCCTGTACTATATATATGTACAATGCATCTGACAGACCCATTGATCTAGCCCTAAATACCCTTCCATATGCTCAGGAATAGTAAATGAACAAATAACAAGTAGTTTTGGTATAAATAACAACAGGAACTTGAGTATTAAATTTTACATTCCTTTCATGCCCTAGTGACACGGAACTAAAAAGTGTAGATAACTGTGTGTGGAAACACTGTAGATGTTCTAGCCCATGTCAGGCCTGTGTCTGTCTGCTTTGGGGTGGGGGGGGGGGGGCATGCTTGCTGGGCCCTGTCCTTCTTGCAGTGAACCATCTGCCAGAATATGCGGCAGAGTGGGAGAGACCGGGGCCATACAGGGACCAACGAGATCTCAGTCTGCATTAGCTGCCATGTATTAGGGTCCCTGTTTCAGACCTGCCATCAGTCCAATAAGTAGTAATATAGGTCAATGTGGAGCTCAGTCCAATATTTCTGCCAAGAACTGTAGGCGTGAAGCGGCTACATGGGATTTCAGGTTAATTAAATCTGAATGGATTCGTTTTATTGAGTTTTCACTGTACTTCAACAAACTGGGAAAATATCCCTGACCACTTCTTCATTGTGTGGCCAGTCTCAGCACAAGAAGGTGCTCCTTAAAAACCACTAAACTTCAGATGTAGTTTCACCTAGAAAAAAAAGGCTCAGGGATTGTTGTAAAAGATGGAATACGGGTGCCGTGCCAGAGGCTGATATCAAGCTGATAATTCTTACAGTCGACTGAAATCCTTACCTCAGGTGTCAGAGAGATTTACTGCCGCAGTGGAATAATCTTTTTACTCAGCAACAATCCCTAAATAACTAGGTTTTAAAAAATAGCTTAAATATATTTTTAATTATTTCTATTTTTGATAAAGAGACAAACAGCTGTAATATATGGAACAAATTGCAAATTGCTTGATGTGCATGCCATATATATACTACTACTAATAATAATAATAATGATAATAATAATATACCATCTATATTATATAATGAGTATTTAGCAAACAGAAATGATTAAACAGAGTAAATGTAGTAGTACCGATGTTTTTGCTAGACGAAAGGGCAGAATTGGACAGCAGACAAATCCATTACAAACCTCTTTTCCTCTAGGTGGCACAATGATAGCAGACGATTTTCCCTCAAAAAAAACAAAATTATTATCGTTAAACTTTAGCTGAATATCATCACTGTGACTGCTATCCCGTCTTCACTCCTTGTTCCTGTCCTTCCTTGTTCAGGAAACTGTGAGCAGGGGTGTTGGAGGGGCGTGGATACCCTTGCAGATTCAGGGGCCCTAGCACAGGGGCCCCAGCACAGGGGCCCCAGCAGTCTACTGGGGCACCTGAATACATAAAATTCAGTTTCACGGGCATTCATACTTAAATGTGTAAGTCAATTTAAAGTATTTGAAGCAAAGTATAGACAAGACTTACATGACTGGTCAATTATGAATGTGACAGACTTGTATCATTGCATCGGTCAGTCTTTCTCTGTGTACTTCCTGTCTGCACCTTCTGCTACCATTAACCATTGTGTGGCTTAGTGAGCTGAGCCTCTCTGGCTGTGATTGAAAGGTTGCCGGCTTGATCCTGGTCTCAGCAGAATAGTTATATGTCCATGGGCCCTTGAGCGAGGCCCTAACCCCCCAGCTTTATGGGTGTGGCTGCCCTTCACTGCCAAACCTGCTCTCAGTGATACATGTGTCTGTGTGTCATAGCAAGTTGATGTAGGTGAAAACAGAAGTTCCTCATGGGGAACAATAAATTACATGTCAGTCTTATTACGATTCATACTTTACAGTTATAATTGATGTATAATTTATTGTATTTGTATATTTTTATTTGCGGCTGATTAGATGCTAAGTGCATTTCATTGGCTCAGGACATGAATTCAGCACACTAAGAGTTTTTACTGATTAATTTAGCAGTTAATTAGTAATTAGTAATCAACTCTCAGTTACAGGTATACATTTATGGCGTTACTTTTTATGATTAAAGTATCAGTATCTGTTTGCGAAAGAACTCAATGTAATGTTAATCATGTGATAGAGTAGATAATTTTCTCAAGTTGCTGCCGGGAACACTTTCCTCACCCTAAGCATGACGTAACCCCTGGTTGAAACCAAATTGGAGGCGAAAAAGTCATATGACCGCCCGGACTAATTCTGATTGGCCGTCTAACTGATCACCACCAATGGAAAACTTCGAAGAGATTGCGCGTGGTCTTAGTTTTGTTATGACCGTATATATTATATTGGGGACTTTTGACGGTTTTATTCCCCTGAGATTATTGGATGGCTCACAGTGTAGGTTGTCAACTCAAAATTATAGTAGCATCTTATCGCTTGTTTCGTGATAACCGTATATTCGTCGGCGAAGTGTTTGGCTTACCATCCAAGCATCCACTCATAACAGTCTTTCTCATACACAGCAGTTGTTGGCGTGAGAGGTGGCTTTATGACAAATAGTATACAATACATAAAAACACTTAACAAATTTAGGTATAGCGCAACACTTAACATACACTTAAAATTCCACTACTATAATACTTCAAACGCCTTTTTAATGACTGTATTTTGTGCTGTAACATTCATGTATGCAATACTAAATAATGAATGCATTTTTCATATATAGCTTTATTGTGATTAATTGTATAGGTCTGCCTTCATAAATGAGAAGAACGCTTGTACTTTATAAAAGTCCAACGGAAATATTTTGTAGGCCAATGATTAATAAATATTCATAGTACATAGTGTGGGGCTATAAATCAACTAAAATACACATTTTTCAACAACATTTATGCTCACTACATTGTCGTAGTTAAAGCTTTCATTTGGTTCTTATAGCATTTAGTGGTGTGCCAGCGGTACATAGAACTGGCCCTCGTCCTGGATTTGATATGACCAGCAATCGATGCAACCTCGTTTATAGATAAAAACGTCTAAGCCAGGGGCTAGGAATGCGAGGTGTGGCGTTATTTAACTTTAATCTTCCTTGTTTTGTTACAGAAAGTAACCTCACCTTGTGTGTCGTAGAAAAACAATTCATTCATACCTACAAAAAAAAAAAAGTGGTGCAAGTTCTCAAAAACAAATACAAAAACAGTATTTTTAAACTGGAGTTTAAAAAATCATAAAATCACTGCTTAACTGTAATCTAACTATTTATTTAATTATATTCACTCAAACGTTATCCTTAATTATGAGACAAAAAGACTCTGCAGTTAACCTATATAGCAAATGCACGTGCTCACTAATATAACTAGGTTAAACGTAAAGGCAAAATAACGTGAACTAACAGCGGCCATCCTGTTCGCTCTTCAAGAGGGCGAACTACATACATGACCAAAAAAAAAAACGGTCTCATGATAATCGGTAGGGAAAATTGCGTTGTTTGGGTTTTTTTTTTTGCGGTCTTGAATTGCACGGCGACGTTGACGCTATGCTTTTTGCACCGATCCGGCGCCCCTTTTACGCTGAAGGGGGTGTGTTCAAGGCTCTTCGATCGAGCCCTCATCTGGAAAATCCCTTCATCCCGCCTTAAAAATTATCCGTCCACAGTCCAGGACCGCGGGTTCGGCTGCAAGGCCACGGCAGCTGGGGGGTGACCATGGACTGTCCGGGAGTTTTAAATATGTAGGCAGGACGCACCAGGCAGTGAATGAGCGGTCGCTGAAATCGGTGCGGGCTTAAATGGGAAATTTGTTGGCCAGCTGGAGGTATAAGGAGCCGAGCACAGTGGAGGAATGCGACTCGACCTGGGATACGGACTCCGATGGCGAGGATCAGGGAGAGGAGCGCGGCGACAGCCCGATCTCTCCCCGGCAATGTGAGCAGGCGGACGCGCCACAGCAGGTATTTAACGCGGCGATCCAGCTCCAGCCGAACAAAGGATGTCAGCGGGGCGACAATGGTGGCTTTTTTGGCGTTACGAGTGCAGCTGTCAATGAAGTCGCATGGCGAGATCTCTGCATACATGCTGCTAAATGAAATATCATCGTTGCCTACTTGGAAATCGGAAATGATTTCCCCCGCTGACCGACGTTAACACGCGGTCCCGTCTCACACACCTACCGCTCATGTTGCGCTTTAAAGCGGATCGGGGGACACGTTGTTGCTTTAGCTGCTATGTTTTTCTGCGAAGCGTGGCTACCGATGCTTAATGGTGCAGTTTTTTTCGTAGATAAAACCGGTTATTTAAACAATTTAAGTCGAGAGTAAGACTACTGCTTTTGATAGACTACTGTCTAGTCCACTTTTACTAGCATAGAAGTCAACCCCATAGCAATAATCAGTTAGGCTTAATTAGATGTCATTGGTTTAAATGGACGTTCAATTTCTAGTAATTCCTGCGTTTACCGTGATCACTAACGTATACTAAATATAAAACATTTAAGGATCACTACAGTATACTGTAGTTTGATTAATGTATTTTTTACACACATAAAACAAATTGTATCTATCTCCGTGTTACTTTACATTTTCCCCATAACCTGCGTGCTAGGTCTGTTTTTTTTTTTATTGGGTTCAGGTGGGGGAATGGGTGGGGCTTTGGGGGATTATAAGAATAATATGAGTATAGCTTGTAAAGTTTATCGAGGGAGATTTATGGGTCAGTGTCGTTGAATTGCACTGTTTAGACCTTTTAACGGCGGAATCCATTATTTTTAATGACTTGCAAAGGGAAACTGTTTATTTTTACTTTGTTCAACAATCTGTAGAGATGCACGTGCTATAGAAGCAATCCAGGTAAAGAACTTTCTGAAAAAGTCTAACGGCAGCGGCTCTCCTGGGAAAACTCGCCTACAGTCGCCTACAGTCCTGCTCAGTGTCACACATGCTTAGCGATCACACTGAGCGCGCGCCTGCACGATGCTCGGCACCGTTATTATCGGGCTCCGCTAATTCCAACCCACCCCGTGTCCCGCAGCACGCCGACCCGCACGACCCCGCCGCTAAGGTGAAGAGGAGCTTCTATGCAGCCAAGGACCTGTATAAGTACCGTCACAGCTACCCGGTAAGCCACTCTTGCCACGCGATTCCCTTTCTTTTACGATAGGGGAACGTTACACTTCCCTTTAGGCTGGTTATTCCCTCTGGATATGACCAGTTCTGCGGTGGCTCCTGTCAAGAGCTACACGTGATTGTGTGCTTAGTTAAAGCGCGAGTCAGGGACGGGTGATCTCGAGAGCGCTGCCGTGATGATCGCGCGCAGGGCCGCCTCGGAGGAGATGTCATGCACCGTCTTGCACGGGGATTTCTCAGGCTGTTGCAGGTTTGTTTGTCTCAGACGAACTTGCACGCTGGGAGCGAAGCGTTAATTAGCACAGTTAACTGAAAATCAAAAATACCCCAATCAAAGTGCAACTTGAAGTATAGAAGAAAATTTGCAAACTGTTAAAGTAACTTAAATAATGCTGAAATTAAGTCATCGCGGCTGCGCAGCAGTGACGTTTTCTCACCTGTATCGTGCGGCTTAAGGGTCAGTAATGGGACACGTAAGGAACTCTCAAAATAATCAAGAACAGAATATTTACAAGGGGAAAAAAATGAAATTCTTACACATTTTGCACAGAAACATCTTTATTAATCAAATAGTACATTTAGAGGTGTCTAACAGTATTCATTAGCAGGCTGGACATATTACATTTTGTTCATTTATCTGATGCTTTTATCCAAAGGACTTGCAGTGGAGGGAAGGGTTACAATTTTTACGTAGGCCCATAATTGGGTGGTAGCGTACTGGAGATGTAACTGTTGTTTGTTAACTACATTGGCATATAAATTTTTACAAAGTGTGTCTAGCCAGTGAGATAAGACCCACTGTCAAGTTTAGCATTAAATAATGCTTTCAGCTACATGACTGAAGCAGCAAACGGATTTCTTTGTTTAGTTAATAACATCATACACTATCTGGTAAAAGGCTAATATTAGCTAGCTTATGCTAGATGCTAATGCTAGTCACCTGGCTAGCGCAGCTATGCTATTGATGAGCGAGCTGTACTGACTCACCCTTTGGTCACACGGGCAGCTCTAGGGCCACTGTCCTTGCTTTAGGAGGGTCCAGTTTCTGTGGGTGTTATGAGCTTTGGGCTCCCCATCTTTCCCCAGAGCTACAAGGAGCCGCGGCAGCCGAGCGACTTCCGCAACCTGAGGTTCTATCTGAACAAGATCCCCCTGGTTCCCGATGGTAAGTTTCCCAGGGAGGCCGTATGAACGGCAGGGGGCATATCGCCCACACGGTGGATGGCGTGGAACGACGTGGCTGCCGTTTACTCGCTCAGAATGTGATTCGGTTGAAATCATGGGTGGAGTTTTAGGTGGGGGGGGGGGGGGGTAATGACCCGCCTAGTCACCTGAAATGCTTTGGGTCTATACTCTCAAAATCGACCCCTCCTTCATTACGTAAATCACGTTTTCAGTTTAGCTAACATAAGGTATTGCTGTTGTGAGGTTATTAATTGTGTTCTGTGCTGCACATTTGCACGAGCGGTTTGTTGGTACTCTATACGTGTGTTTACACGCAGGGTAAGCAAGATGGGTTTTTTCTTCCTTGCCCTCCAAAGTGCAAACATCAGACTCTGCCTGTGGTCGATATGTTTGCTGTGGAAGTGTAACCTGCACCCCTTGTTGACACTACTTATGGATGCGGTGCTCCCAGGGGTCTGACCGCTCCACCTGTCAGGGAGGAGTCTGGAAGGACGAATCGACAGCCTGATTGCTGACCGCGTGCTTCTCACTGCCCTGCTAAACGCACATCGCACGTGCCGCTAACCAATCAGGAATCTTCTTACATTGATGCACACATACGCATGTATAAACACTGACAGACTGCGACACCATAAACGCCGCACACACACACAAAGTAATTAGCTTGAAATTGGCCTCAGGGTGCCTACAGGTGGGCCACTGGGGGTCAATGCAATGCTTGAGGAGACACAGTTTCAGTTCAGCGGCAGGAGGCGGGGGGGTCAATAATCTGTTTGGAGAAGGCCTTAGGAGTATTAGGAAATTCACTCTTCAAACATTTGTTCCGGAAAGAATCCATTTGTGGAGTATTTCGAAAGGAGTGCTAGGGTTGGTAGCTGGCTGTGGGGGGTGGGGGCGCAGAGACACACACACAAGGTACACACTGTTACCCAGTGACTCACACAGCGGCGTAGCAGTAACAGAGTAACAGAGTAACAGAGTATGTTCTTGTGCCCTTCTTCCCCAAATTCGTCCTCCAGACATTCATTTCGAGAGCGGCCTGGAAAGGGTCGTCTCGCAGCCCGGGGGCCCGTTCGACCGCGGCAGGGCGGCAGCACCTCTGCCTGCATTTTTCCTGTCGACCTGCTCAGCTGGCCTGTCCCCGCACGGTCCCGAGAGCGCCTCCTGTTTGTCGGACAGGTGGGGCTGCGGGGGCATGCTGATGCCGACGCCCGCCTCAGCCCCAGCAGGAGTGACTCCTCTGCCGTGAAGGACGCGTGGATCCCGCAGAGTTGGGGGGCCGGCCGGAGTTCTCGTTTAACGCTCCTTTGTCTCCATGCAGGTATTTACGTCGAAGAAATCCTCACGCAGTGGAGAGGCCACTACGACAAGCTAGAGCACAACCACACGTACATACAGTGGTGAGCCTCCTTCCACGGCTAAAAACGACCTGAGCCTGGGATCCAGTAAATAATAATCCCCCCCCCGCGCCCCCACCACCAAACACTGGTGAGACGTCACCCCCGTAAAACAGAAGAGACAGACCATGAGTCGTTCATGAGACGGCACGTGACACCGAGCTTAAAAAAGACGCTCGTCACGGGGCTGGGGAACATTAGCATAATCCCAATTAGCAACTCTAAAAGCGCAGATAGCTAAAAACTGCGAGGTAGAGCGACGTGTTCTGCGACTCGGTCTGGCCTTGGCGTGGAGGGGGGGGGGGGGGCAGCTCTGGAAGAGACAGCACCAAAGGTATGGGGGTGAGCAGCAAGGTCGGCGTTTTCGGCGAGTGGGGATGGAGCTGCCAAGAAGCAGGGGGCGCTAGAGAGCAGGAGACCGCGAGCTGCTCACTGAAGCGTCTCCGTCTGCTGTGTCGCAGGCTGTTCCCGTTGCGAGAGCAAGGGCTGAATTTCTACGCTCAAGAGCTGACTCAGGATGAGATTAAGGTACGAGGACTCCGCCGGCATTGGCTGTGCCGTTGGTGCCAACTTGTCTTGCATTCTTCTAAAGAGCTGGTTGACTTAACCCTGATGGAGAGGGGTGGGCGGGGCTTCAGTGGTGCATGTGACCGCTGTGAGCCTATCGCTGCCACCCGGCAGGAATTCCAGAACTCCCGCGAGGCCCGGCGCCGCTTCCTGCAGGCCTACGCCCTCATGTTGGACTTCTTTGGCATCAAGCTGCTGGACAAGAGTGGCAGCGTGACCCGTGCCCCCAACTGGCAGGAGCGCTTCCAGCACCTCAACGAGTGAGTGCCAGCGTGCAGCCTGATCCGTTTGGGGTAGGGGGGTGCCGGGGTGTAGTCCAGGCAAACATGCAGTGAGAGCAAAGCGCTATAGGTCCTGTCCGAGGTAGACATAGGCCTCACCAGTGTGTCTCATTAGATTAGGCTCCTCCCCTTTATTGTATCGGGGTACAACAGGATGCCACAGTAGCTCAGTAGGTAGGGCTGTACCCTCGTACTTTCAGGGTAGAGGGTTCAAATCCTACTTTCTGCCTGTGCTTGTTTTCATGTATCCTGTGTACTCTGGGTGTGAGCCATGAGTACGGCATCCCCTGCCCTGTGGCTTCTGCGATAAGCTCCAGGATCACCGCAGCCCTGAACACGATGTTAAGTGATTATAGAATATACTTGAGCCTGGCTACATAACACTGTACTTATGAAATGAGGATTTTTTCCCTTATCTACAATTAATTTGTTTTTCTTAGGTGAGGGAAGAACATTCTGCAAAATATACTATTCGTATAATACTACAAATATCCATTTAATATGTTCATGATTGTTTAGTTGACTTAAGTTATAACTTTAACTAATAGAAATACAGAGCAAATACTAGGTAATATTTCTGCATTGTTTTGTTAGTCTTTAATGGAATTCTACCCTTTAGGTCAACATGTGTGGAATAACATGTTTAGTAAAATCATCTGACACCGAAGACTAATCAGGGTGTATTTTTCCAAATCCCTAAACCTTCCGACTCTTAAATGTTCGCTAGTATAATCTCATACCTCAAGCTGTTTTCTGCAGTCAAGCAGTAATGCTCAATTTAAAACCCAGAATGTGTATCCTGTGACACAGGGTGAATGTGTTGGGAGTAGGAAATGATTAGAGAATTCCACATCATCCTGATATGCTGAGCAACTTTTCACCTGCTGCCCTCACAGGTCCCAGCACAACTATCTCCGCATAACGCGCATCTTGAAGAGCCTGGGTGAACTCGGGTTCGAGGCCTTCAAGGCGCCTCTTGTGCGCCTCCTGCTGGAGGAGGCGCTGGTGGGCGGCACGCTGCCAAACATGCGCCACAGCGCGCTGGAGTACTTCGTCTACACGCTGCGCGCCCGCTCCCAGCGCCGCGGCCTCCTGCGCTTCGCCCAGCGACACTACCTGCCCCCGGAGGATTTCGTCTGGGGCCCCCCCCAGAGGAGGAGGGTGGGTGGGGCCAGGGCGAGGTCAATCAAGGAGGCACACCCAAAGAGCCCCGCCTCCTCTCCACCCTCTGAGAGGGGTGGAGTCATGGGAGGTGTAGCCAAGGAGGAGGTGGGCTGGGCTGCAGCAGACAAGCACAGAGGAGAGGAGCATCCGGGAAGGGCAATGAAATTCCAGCAGGGCGGCGCCATCAGACCACCTAAAGACGTGTGGGGGGAGGCTGGGTGTGCAGGGGACAGGCTTGAGTATGGGGACTTCCTCCCCGTGTAGGAACCAGGTGTGAGGGAGCTCTGGTTACCAGAACATTCCGGAATGCCTACTGATCCATGCCTCCCCCAGATGTGCAATGTAGCCTTCCAGTGCTAAACGTACACTGGGGAACAGCCGTACTCGTTACTCTGTGGTAGCTATTTTACTTAGTTAATCTCTTGCCATTGTTCTTCCCTAAGCACACATGTAGGTATATAGAAATTATATGGGCTACCTGATTTCCCCTGAATTTCATCACCCACCCCCCACCCCCACCATGAAATATTACATCTATCTTGTCTTCCTTCACGAGGATTTCTTTGCCAGAAGTCTGAGTTAACGATGCTGCAAGCTGCTTATTGGCGCCGTGACCTTTGCGTTGAACGCGCTTTCCGTACGGCATTAGAGTATAACGGCCTCCCGTTTAGTTTCGTAGCTCCTGAATGATGGATTCTGACGGAATCCATTGTCCGATTTACACCTTCCGCCCCCATGATCGTGATGCCCTCTGTGCATACGTGCACCGTGTTGGGTGAGCGTGCGCACGCTTCGCAGAGCCCGGTCCGCCATACAAAGTGCCTCCTTTGAATCCCACGTAGCGGCCCGAGCGGGGGCCCAAGGCCCAGAGAGGGCCAGCAGGATTTCTGGGGACTTGCGTCTTCCCAGGGAGGCTCCGCACGTGGGTCCGATCCTTCACATTGTAAATCGCCGCGTAGTACTTCCAGAAATGTCCATGTGGGGGCACTGGAGTGGTGCGCGGTACCTGCCAGACTGTTATTTACCCCGTCACAGGGCTAATACCCCTCCAGTTCAACCCCCCGACCCGTAATTGGAAGCAAGAGAGTGGGGTTCTGTTTGGGCCTGGAAACCATGATGCTCAGGGTATACGATGCTGATCAGCCATGTTTGGCTAACTTGGGGGTTTGGGGGGGGGGCAGCAGTGGAGAGTGGATGGAGGTATTCTTAGGGGTTCCAGGGAGCCAGTGCACTCACATGCAGGTCTGGGTGTCACAGTGCTCGTTGCTGGATGTGGGGGGGGGGGGGGGCAAATGCTTGTGAAAAACAGGCCGACAAAATAAAACGACAGAGTCCCGTTTTCCGGCAACGCTGTCCGCAACATTCCCACACCTCCAAGAGATCTCCATGTATGTGCCTCTTATGTTCATTCTCGAGTTTTTTCGAACAGTGCAGTGTTGTAGACCCTCTGCATTTCGGTTCCCGGTCATTGTAGCCATCATCTGGACTCGTCAGGTATAACTTGTATTTTTTAATTCTGTACTCGTATGCCAGTGTGAAATGTGGCAGTAGTTTCTCTTATTGCATACTGCTGGATTAAAGTATTATATATGGAAAGAGCGAGTTGATTTTTTTTTAATTCTTTGATTGTATGGTAGTGATAGCCAAATGAAGCTTGGTGAACCATTTGCTGTCTTTCTATTCAAAAAAGGCTCAAAGCATAACCCAAAGTAAACCAAGAGCACCATCTGTTAGTGTCAGAAAATACGGAAAATGGTTTAAGAAGCTTCATGTGGCCATCGCACTATTAAATGAGGTCCAGAGGCAGACATCTCCACATAAACAAAGCCATCCTTTAATAGCAGCAAGATTTGGAAGGAAACCGTTTGAACTCATGAAATGACACTTAAGTTCAAGTTGAACCCAGTGCATTCAGATAAATTCATGGTTTAAATGAACAAGACATCTGCATACTTTATACCTCCCTGGGTTGTGGGTTCGAATCCCTTTCTTGGATCGTGCCTGTTCTCTCTGTGCTGTGTGGTGCTTCTTTGGGTCCTCTGGGTTCCTCCCAAGGTTTAAAGACATGCAGTTAGGCTAATTGGCATCTCTAAATTTCCCATTGAGTGAGTTTGTGTGCCAGTGTGTGATTTGTGTGTTCAGTGATGGACTGGCATCCAGTCCAGTGTGTAATGTGGCCCTGTGCTGCCTGGGCCAGGCTCCGGACCCCTCCTTGCAACCCAGACCAGGATAAGGAGTCAGGAGATAGAAAGAAAGAATTATCCGTGTAAGGTTTTGTAGTGGAACTGTGTATTTAAATAAAATGGAGAGAAACTCCTTGGAAGATAACCAGGAAGAGTGAGGGGCTTCGAAAACAGATAAGATGCAAAGCTTTAGAGACGCTGAGATCATGGGAGTTGTCAAATGCACTCTGTATTATTACAGTAGAAGCACTGGGCATTTATCAGCCCACAGAACATACTTATGACAATCCAGGCTTCCGGTCTCTGCCGGAGCGGAACGAGAAGCTACCGGGAGGCCAATAACAGCTCCGAACAACCTGCAGGGGTCCTCCGCTGAGATGGGATAGACTGCTCCCCCCCATCATCGAGAACCCGGTTACTGCGAGTGGGGAAAACAGAGTCATTAGCGAAAATGCCCACGCGTGTTTGCAAATATGCTGTGAAGCACATCACCGGCTGGAAGGATGCTGGCAACGATTCCCTGCGCCGATTAAATAAATATTCAGACGCTTGGCCAGAACTCTAATCGCTCTGTGCGGTGGAAAAGCCATTACAGCGTATCACCCTGGTAACACCATCCCCTATGCGTGCAAAGCATCGTGACAGGGCACCATGGGAATGCTTCTTATTGGCCAGCATGGGGGGCATTTCTCGTCATCGAGAAAACAATAGATGGAGCACAAGGCAGGCCCACCTTTGAGAAACAGCCAAGCCTGGTTCAGCTCTCCATGTTCATTTGTGATTTTGGAAGCATACCTTCAGCAACACGTTGTTCAGAAACAATCCAAGTCTGAACTGTAAATGAGAATCCTCAGAAAGATTATTATTTTGGATATTATTGTGTTCCGCTTTCAAACTGCATGCAGGTTCAGCATAAATGGGAAAATGTACAATGCAGTTGAACAAATTTTGCCATCAAGTCGATGCCGACTCCTGGTGACCACAGAGATGGCATTCCCCTAGAACAGTGTTTCCCAAACCAGTCCTCGGGGACCCAAAGATACATCCCTATTTTTTTGCTCTGTGGTTCAAAGTGATTGGTTCATAGAGACAACCAAACGAATGTAGAGGAGGTGGGACCATTACATCTGATTGGTTGGTCCCACCTCCTGTGCAATCTGATTGGTTTTCTCTCTGAACCAATCATTTATGTTCAGCCCTCAGAACATTTTTGTGTAAAACTGCCATTGCGCTGGTCCTTCTCATTTACCTTCATCTTTTGTAAACATTATAGTGTCTTCCAGTGTACAATGTCTTCTCATAAGCCCAAAAAGACTCAACTTTAGCCAATTCTTGTCAATGAATAGTTACACATTCATCTTTTATTTAAATTATCAGATTTTCAATTTAGGCTGTAACACAAGAAGGGTGCACACTTCCTGTGGGCACTGTCAAAGCAGTCTGCTTGAAAACAGCTTTCAACGGGCTCTGTGAGACCCTGAGGACACGGCCCAGCGATGGCCTCAGGCTGCTCTGAAAAGTGCAGAGTCCATCATACCAGCAAAGTGACCCTTCCACATTCCTCTGTCTTTGTGTCTTGCTGTGATAATATTCCTCTCAGCCCAGCTGGTTCTGAAGTGGAGGACTGTGGCTCGTTTTTACATCGGATCGATGCGATTCGCCAAGAGGTCACAGCACTGACTGTATTCTGACCCCCGCTGTTTTGGTTCTTGCGTCTTTGGCTTCTGGCGCCAATCCAGTCTATTTCGTCAGTGTCGCGACCTTTTCTCCTGGAGCACAATTACCGACAGCGAGAAGAACTTCCGCATCTTACAACTTCGATTATTAAACCGTTCAATTAATCAGAAGTAATTTCCCCACGTGTACCTTTCTCCTGTTATTCCCCAACCTGGGCTGCCCATACGCGGTCGAAACTCCAGCATTTGCACTCAGAGGATGTATAGGTGAGCGGCTGGATGGTCACGCAGTTTCAGTTCCTGTTGTGGTCGAGAGAGAGACTACATACACGGCACTTACACCGAAACTGGGGTTTTCACCATCGCAACCGAAACCATGTGGTATGTCAGAACACATAAATAACTTACAGCAGGGGTGTCGCTTCTGGGGGCCTTAACTCCCCCCCCACCCAAATAAATGTACACTAATTTGATTAAATAGTGCCCTCTCATTTTCATTAAAATCAGACCCCCCTAGTAAAGGGGATTTTCACAACAAAAACAATCATATGATAAGCCAGGTATGCTTGCTCGTCCCTTTACCCTGGAATATGCCAGTTTATGCTGGCTGTAAAGCCCCCTGTACTGAAGGCTGTTTGCAGGACCTGATCTGCTATACATCTGTGTTAATGCTTGTGCCTTTGCTGTTCTATGAGAGCCCAGATCTTTCTCTCACCTGAGTTTTTCCTGACTTTCCAGCGAGCCACTCCAAGAAGCAGTCTGTGACACAGCAGGTTAGGATGCGGTCCCTGTGATCGGAAGGTTGCTGGTTCAAATCTCGGGCTTGGCAGAGCGATTTCACCATTGGGCCTTTGAGCAATGTCCTTAACGTCCAGTTACTCAAGGGACTGTCTATACCTGCTTTCACAATCCTCAGACGTGAACCATCAGTTACACTGAGACAAGGCTGATTTAATTCAAATTAGAGGGCTGTGCTTTGAGTATGCTTTAGCCATGGGGGGTACTGTAATTCTCTGTATGATATTATCAAAAAAAAAACTACCAATCAGACAGCCAGTGTTTCAAGAGAATAATACATTTATTACAGTTCAAAACCATATATTAAAATATTGTTTCTCACAGTATTTAGCTGCAGGCAAATGAATTTACAACTAGCTGGTTAGCCGACTGGCATACTTCAATTATTTAAAGGAAATTCAATTATTAACTTCATAATTGCTCGGGTATTTATCATAATTGTGGAGCCAGCGGTGATTTTAGCAGCACATATTTAACAGATTTATTGGCATGGCGTCCGGTGCGTAACCCAGCCTGACAGCCCTGCTGCCTGGGACAGTCTCCAGGATCCCCCTGCAAGCCTCACCAGCCGAACTGGGTAGATCAGGGTTATTCAACTCACGGTCCTCGAGGTCCGAGCACTGCTGGTTTTCCAGCCTTCCTTTACCTGTCAGTCAGGTGTGAAGCCTCTGACCAATCAGAATCAGTAATTATTAAACAATTACCTGGGAGAACTGAAAACATGGCCTGGATTTGGAATCGAGGTCCAGAGTTGAAGAACCCTGGGGTAGATGATGGATGGATATTTAACAGATTTATGCTAGGCAGAGCATTCTTACTCTTAGTGCAAGTACTGACATGCATATTATACCAGTGGTCTTCACTGCACGGCCTGTGTGCCACTGGCGCCCCCCAGAGGCCAGTGTGGCAGCCAGCGACTGAATAAAACAATAAGCAAATTATCCTGACCATCAGATTTATTCATTTTAAAAATTATCATTACTATTGTTATTCTTCTTCTTATTATTATTATTTTTAGTTTTTTTTTAAAAATCTAGACACAATACAACTCACTCTCCCACAAATGCGCAGCTACATAGTTGACTAACAGTCAAGCGAGGCAGTTTTTGAAAAGTAAATGGTGGCCCCCAGCCCCCCTTCACACTGGTAAGCATGGCCCTCATCGAAAGTTCACCATCAGACACGTGGTCCAATAATCGATGCCTGGTTTACACGAATGCTGAACTTTATACTTTATAGTTCTTTAAAATACTACACCATGCATAAATCTATTTTCGGTCACCTCTATTCAAATTTAGGAGAGAGTGTTGAGAAATATTTTTTGTCCTTCAAAACTAGGATAAAAAAAAATCTTTTAGCATATCCATTCTTTAAAGGCATAGGCTTGTCAGTATCCCTGGCAACGGGCTCAGTTTACATACAGGAGTAGACACGCCTATTCAAACACAGTGCTGCTGCACATACTGCAAATGTTACATAGTATTGTGTACAGTGTCAATGCAGCCAGAGCCGTGGCCATTGGACTTGGGCCCACAGTAGACAGGAAGTCTCCCAGTCCTGCTCCACAAGAAGCCACTGCCTTCAGCTGGCAGTGGGGAAAAGGCGCCATCTGCTGGCAGCTGACCAATACTGAATTATATCAAATCATGCTCGTTCGTCATTACACTTTTAATTCTGCTGAGGACTGCATCTTCAGTACCTTGCTTTGTCATTATTATTAAGATTACTATTACTGCTTGGCACAATCTTTATATATATAGCCTCAATTTTTTTCCCCACAGTTTCTCAGTGAACAATGTTATATGTGCTCACTTGTGAGTATATGAATTCCCTGAGCTTAATGCTTCACTGCAAACAGGCCAGACTTTTTCCGCCTCAGGTTCTGGGCTGCGGGGACCCAAACGCAAGGGCGGCTGTGCAGCAGAGGTGACTGGGCGGC